GTCCCCACTTTGGCCAGCCCTCGCTGTCGATCTTGTTGTCAGCCATGTTCAGCACCTCCAATGCCGGCATGGTGTGCATTCCCTCAGGCACAGCACGCAACGCATTCGACGCCAGATTCAGCTTCTCAAGCCTGTCAGTCAGTCAACACACAAACCACACGCATGGGTCCGTGTTTGTGCTATGTGCCTGCCGAGGTAGACATACATACCTGTCCGGCATGGTGCCGTTGTCTGCGAATCCCTCGATGAGGTTGCCTTTGAGCAGGAGAGTGTGCAGCGACAGTGCCCCCCTGAAGGACGGTGCGATGCCCTCAATCTGGTTATCGTCCAAGTTGAGCACTTTCAGCCGCGTCCATCCACTGACCGACGGCGGCAGCGCCGTCAGCTTGTTGTCCCGCCCATCGAGCTCCTGCAGGTCGGTGAAGAGGCCCATCTCCGCCGGCATCGCGCCCTCGAAGCCGTTCCGGCCGAATGTCAGGTGCTGCAGCCGGTTCAGGGGAGCCAAAGGTGCGAGTGTACCGTTGAAGTCGTTCCTCTCGATCTTGAGGAGCTCCAGCAACCTGAGCTGTGAGAAGGACTCTGGTAGCGGGCCCTCGAACCGGTTGCGGTGGAGTGTGAGGGTGCGGAGACTGGTGCAGTTGCCGAGGGACGGCGGGATGGGGCCCGACATGCCCGGACCCGCCTGGCGGTAGACGTCTAGCCTGCGCAAGTCTGGCATCAACCCGAGAGACGAGGGAAGCCGACCGTAGAGCTGACACGGTCCACAGGGACAGGCAGGAAAGTGCGTGGCAGCCACTACGTCCCTGAGTGCCTGCCTGTCTGCCTGCCTGTCTGCCTCACCTACCCTGTTGTCATATAGTGAGAGGTACAGCAGGTGCGGTGTGGTCGACCCCAGCCCCTCCGGCAGCTCCCCTTCCAGCCGATTCTTGTAAAACAGCAGCTGCCGCAGCTCGCGCAACCCCAGCAGAAACCTCGGCAGCGGGCCCGTCAGGCGGTTCTTGGCGAGGTTGAGCACCTGCAGCTGGGTCAGATTGGCCAAATGCTCCGGCAAGTCACCCTCGATCATCATGTCTTGCAGCTTCAGGTAGGTCAGGTTCCGGCACTCGGCCACACTCGCCGGCAGCACGCCGTCCATCGCCAGCAGGCCCGACTGCTCTATCGACAGGATCCGCAGCTTCTGTAGACGGCCGATGTCGGCGGGCAGGAAGCCATGTAGACGTGTGCGTGACAGCACGAGCAGCTCCAGGTTCGACAGCGACAGAATGGATGGGGGCAGAGAGCCCTCGAAAGACGGTGCGTCCGCGTATGGCTGGCCGCGCAGGTGCAGAGCCCGCAACGAATCAAGGGAGCCGATCGACGCAGGCACCGGGCCAGAGAGGTCCGTCTGCACGCACATCACATTCAGAACACCAATCAGTCAATCACGGGAAGCGCATGGGGGCCAGTCTGGCACTTTCTCTCTCTTGCCTAAGCTGACCAGGTCGAGGTCGATGGCTTGCAGGGAGGTCATGTTGCCGATCCGGTCGTCGAGATGGCCAGCGAAAGGCACCTCCTTCAGCCATAGCACCCACACAGCCCTCAGCTCATACAGCGCTGCGGGCAGCGGCAGCCGGCGGTCGGTGCGCTGCCTCAGCCACTCAGGGACACCAGACACGTCGCGGAACTCTGTCGACCCCACAATCGACAACACGTAGCCCTCCCGCTGCTTGCCATCCCTCATGCAAATGACGAACGGGGCCTCACAGACGTTGTTTCCCAGCGTAGCTGCCGTGCCGTCGCCCATGGCGGGGAACAGTCCGGCGTCGGAAATGAATCGCAGCAGGGCCGGGGCATCGTGTTGGCAGATCTGGCACTCATGGATGAGGGCGGTGTCTTGGAAGAGGGAGAATGCGAAGTCCAGGCCGCCGCTTGGGCGCGTGATGTGCTCGTGCCTGAACAGGCCGCTCCGGTGCAGCACCGCCCACTTGCGGCTGTCGTCGTCTGGGGCGGCGTGGAGGGCCGGGGCGATGCCGAGGATAGTCAAGAGAAGAAGCAAGTGCCCTTCCATCGACCATCCTCGCAATAATGCGGCTATGGACTCACAGATCAGGCGGTTTGGTTGGTTGGTTATTGTGTTTAACGAGACTCGTGTCTGTAACCCCGAGGGGATCCTGTCCAGGTCACGCACTAAACTAGCAGCATGCACATGCATAGAAGCATGCACACGGCCTGTCTCCCCATCCCACCCACCCACTCGACACGCACGTGCCACCCTATGATGGTCAGAAAATCGCTGTCGACAACGGTTGCAGGTATATGAGAATGACAGCCAGACATAGGCAAGACACCCAGAGGCTAGTCAGAGAGCTCGACGTCGAGCGCCCACTGATCTAAGACATGCTGTTCGTACAGCAGCT